GCCTGGGTTTGCCTATACTTGATCTACTCGAATCACATGCTTTCAAACTGGTAGGTTGGCAGAAGCTAGGGCTGACAACGGGAGCTCACCCCGACTCGCAGCCTTGAGCTGCCAACCTTCCAGTCAGCAGTTTTCCTGCAGCTAGTGGTTAAACCAGCTATGCTACCATGGTTGACATTTCAACTTGCAAGGAGAAAAACATTCTGAGATGCCTTGCTACGAGACCAGAAAAGAAAGTCGTGGACTTACTGAAACTCTGCAAATACCTCCAGGAGGTGCTCCGTTTTTAGTGAGGGAGAAAAATCATAGATCTCGAGCACATGTCCAAAATCCCCTTCGTTGATCTGGGCCTCCCCATAGCTAGAATAATCAAACTGGATTTTTTCAATGCTTATGTCCTTTATGGTCAAATAATTTGTGATCTGGAAAAGACGGAAGGAGGGGTGGGGAGAGAGAAAGGGGCATTGACATAATGAGAAACAGATGAGCAATGTTACCCTTTGGCACGACAATTCCCAGAATCCTCCAGCTGCCACGTCCAAGAAACCAGCTTGGTTGCACAGATTCTGGGATGTACCTCAAAAGAGTATGCTTGCTAACCTCCAGATTCATGTAAAATAGCAATGGTTGGTGTGGGAAGGTGGATTTTCAGCAGGGTGGTTCTAAAAAGACCACATCAGAGAGAGAGAACTGCACTTGGCAACATTCCCTCCCTGACCAAATCATCTCCCCAGGCACAGTCCCTATATACTAGCCGTCCCCTGCCACATGTTGCTGTGGCCCAGTCTGCTGATCTGGAAAATAAAGTAACGAGAAAGTGTCGCTTTCTAATTTCTTTATGCTTGTAGGTAAACAGTATTTCTTGTTGTTTCTTTGTCTATGTTGATGTGGAGATTGTCTGGATTATCGAGGTATGCATGTGTGTTTTTCAATGTGTTTCTATGTAACTCAAAATGGATTAAGATGTGTTTCAAGATGGATTCTATTATGTTTAATTGTGTATTAGAAATACTGTGAGAAGCAGAGAGAAAAGTAACCTTGACAGAAGTGAGATAACATGTTCTCTGGCTGTGGGAAGAAAAAAGAGGATCCCGTTGCAGCCAGAGTTCTGATAAGCAGATGTTCTGAAACTGTTTATGGTGTGCTTTGTAGTTCCTGATGATTGCCAGCTAAGAATGGACGTGTGTAGATGTACTTAGTAAACTTTGTGTTATTTTGAAACTGTAAGACTGCAGAGTCCTGATTTTTTGGAATCCTGTGTCTGTCGATCTAGCAACCTCTTCCGCTGCGCATATACCCCCAAAATTTC